CTAGGAGTGCTGTTTCTGGGCAGGAAAGTCAGCTGTATTGCCATCATGTCTCGGTTTCAATATCTCTTGTCATTAGAGGCTCTTTGCTTTTATGAGGGACAGAAGGTGGCTAGCCACACCTGATCTCACCAGTATTCTTTGGTACTAGCTAGGTTTTTGTTTTTGTTCTGGTTTTTTTTTGAGCAAGAATAAACCAAGTGAGACTCAATCACTTGAAGTTTTGAAGACTCAAGGCAGACAGTGAAATTGTTCTCAATGGAGAAGATGAAACTCCCCCAATATTATTTATAGAATTTGATGGTCAGGTGTTTTTGAATTAGCTGAAATATAATCATACATTTCTATTTGAAATCCAGCTTTTCAGTCAGTACTCATTTATTCATGATACAGTAAACATCTCTTTGGTCTTTTCCTTTAGCTTATATGCTAAAACTCTTGTGATTATTTAAGGGTGAGCTTCTTTTTCAGTCTCAGCTAATAAATATGTGGCCCATGTTGTTATTATATACCACTAATAAACTCAGTGATCTGGTTTTGAAGCCCTTGCCAAATAAGCTACAAATTAGAAGTGGGGGGGAATTGCTATTAGCAAGTACCTGGAGACAGTGCCAGCCTGACTGCAGTAAGGGGGAAGAGAAACCTAAAAAAATTTTAACTCAAAGTACAGTAGTTCCATCAATATTCAAGGTCAGGACAAATAGCCTTATATTCAGTACAGCAGGACACTGTATTTTACAACATAAGACACATATCAGTGATGTATCCCTAAGTCATTAAACATACAAGATAACTGTTTAGTGTTACCTGTTTAAGAAACAGGAGCAATTACATGACTTTTAGATAAGTCATAATGGTGCCCCTAAAGGGTATGCTCAGGTATTCTTGTATACCCAGGAAACTTAACCTTCCAAACCAATTTATATACTAAGTGCTTGACCTGTGGGTGAGATTCAGATTGGTGTAAGATTTAATTTGCTATATGTAAATATATTACTTGATTTATATACAGAATTTCTCCCTAGTGGAAGAGGTTATTCTGAGCTTGTTTTTTTTAACCAATATGAGCAATACCAGGTTAAGATTGTTAGTGATCTTCCTCAGAAGCATATATGGGATAATCACTATAGTTGTTAGTCTTAATGATTTTAATTTTGTTACCTTCTAGGCTACATGAAGATATCTTTTTTAAAAATTTACTTTTCACTTTCATTGTCCTAGTGTATTTAGGGTAAGAAAAATCACATAGCTCTAAAAAAGCAACAACACTTTTTCACCCCCCAGAGACAACCACTTTCAACTCTGCTGATTCTCATATTACTTACCTCCTTATTAAATAATTTGCTTTATTTTGCTATGTGTTGGTTTTTCAATTTTAGGTATCATCTGGTGACTTGGTGGTGTGGACACTTGAGGGTGTAGCTCTTTCACCAGTCCGTGATTCCCATGGATACACATATTCTTACCATCTTACAGTTCAATCATAGTTATAATTTAGATTAGATCAGTTATGATTTAGATTAGATCAGTATTTCTTACCTTATGGTTTTCTACAACTAGGCCATGGGGTTACTCTTTTTTTTTTTCCGACATAACTTTTTGGGGGAGGGTTTTTTTTTTTTTTTTCATTTGTATTTTGTACCTGATGCTCATTTTTCCCTAAACTCTCCTTCATTTGTAACAGCATCCTTTCAATATGTTCGGACTTGTTAGGTATTCATTCTTAGAGAGGTCTTCTGTTTTGATATGTTCTAGTTTGGACTGGTTTACATTCTAGATTTGCTACCCAACCTGTTGGGTTGGTGTATCCTTTCACTATCATATTGTGTTAATCTCCTAACTTCCTTCTTATCACCTCTACCTACCTTCCTGAGAAAAAACAGGTGGAAGATAAATTTCTTGAGATCTTGCATGTCTCTTGTCACACTCAGATGATAGGTTAGCTACATACAGAGTTCCAGGTTGGGGATAACTTTTCCTTAGAATTATTTTGAAGGTATTGGCCCATTGTTTTCTGTCTTCTAAATATTGTTGAGAAGTGCAGTGGTATTATTTTTTTCTTTTTTTAAAAAACTTTATTTATTTATTTGAGATAGCACAAGCCAGGGGACAGGAGAGGGAGAAGCAGGCTCCCCACTAAGCAGGGAGCCTGGATCATGACCTGAGCTGAAGGCAGACTCTTGACTGAGCCACCCAGGCGCCCCTGCAGTGCTATTCTGATTCTTAATTTTTTTGTATGTGTCCGTTCCTCTTAACTCCCACCCCAGACCTATTGAGATCCTATCTATGTAATGTTTTGAGATTTTACCAATGATGCACTCGGAAATGGGTCATCCATTTTGCTGGGTACTTTAAACTTTTAAGTATGGAAAATCAAGTTCTTCAGTTCTGAGAAATTTTCTTTTCTTATTTGTGTATTCCCACAGCTTCTCTTTCTGAAAATTAAGTTACTTGGATGTTGGACTTACTGGGTTAGTCTCCTGATAGTCTATATTTACTTTTCTGTTTTCCACCTTTATCCTTCCTTCTGGGACATTTCCTTAACTTTTTTTTTCTAACCTGGTTTCCTTTTTTTCTGCTGTCATTATTTTTTTTAAGTCCAAAAGCTTTTTAAAAATGTTCCTTTAATATCTTTCATATTAAAGACCTTTTCAAATTCTTGGTTGTCTGCTCTTCTTAGAGAGTGGGGCCCAAAAAGTGGATTGGAAGGTCTGTTTGGGGTTGGGCTCACTAAACGTGGGCCTCTCTCCCGTGATCTGGCTGAGTTACCATATTGTTACATAGGAACATATTTCTGTTGTTATATAATTGTTTACATAGGAAATCCCCGATACTAGTATTTTTAGATCTTTCATGTAGGTAAGATTCCCTCAAGAAGGCTTGTATATACTCTGAGGGATAGGAGGCCAGCTGGCAGATTTCTGGGAGTAAGGCAGGGCAAGAAGGCTTTGAGTTTCAGCCTGATACTGATTGTGCCTGATACTCTCCAGTTAGGATTGGGTTTACCCTTTCAAGTCTTGTACCAGCTTTGGGGAGGAGCAGTTAATTGGGTACACACAGGAGGGAGGGGTTCCAAGGTTCTTTAGGCTTCTTACATAGTCTTTCAACCTATCCTCTTTTAAGCCCCACCTTCATCTCCACATTCCATTACCTGGAGTCACTAATCAAACTTGAGCCTTTTGGGAGTTCTGTGATATAAACCAAGTTGCTTTCCTTTCCTATTGATGGCTTTACGATTCATTAAGTTATCATTTATCTGAAATTTTTCAATTTCCAAAATCTTGTTTTTCATACTCCATTCTTGTGGGTTATTGCATTTTACAAATTTACTATTTTTTATTTTCTTAAGATTTTATTTATTTATTCGACAGAGAGAGACACAGAGAGAGAGGGAACACAAGCAGGGGGAGTGGGAGAGGGAGCAGGGAGCCCGATGCAGGGCTCGATTCCAGGACCCTGGGATCATGACCTGAGCTGAAGGCAGACGCTTAACGACTGAGCCACCCAGGCGCCCCAAATTTACTATTTTTTAATTATTAAATTGTTATTTTAATATTTACTATTCTAGTAAGGTTTGAGAAGGAAAGAGAGGCTTTTGTGTGCACTGATTCTCTCACATGCTATCTTTAACTGGTGTTCTGCCTGAAATCTGTATACCTTATTTTTTTTCTCAGGCTAAGATACCTTCACTCCACTCAGACACAGAAACTGTGCAGGCCCTCCTCTTCCTTTGTTTTCTTGCAGCACAGTGTGCAAATGAGAGAAAACGGACTAAATGACCTGGAAAACTTAATTACATGAAGCCTAGTGCTGACATCACAGTTAAAAACTTCTCCAGTAAGCACTCTGAAGCGCTCTGGCCTTTTTTTTGGTCCCTGACTTTGCTTTAAAACAAGTGTGTGCTTTTTTGATAATATGTACACTCATTTTACTCTCTTACTAGTATCACAATCAAGAGCTTTATACTCAAGGTATGTGGCCCAATTTTAAGAACTGGAGATTTTAATGGAGATGATCTTGACTGCACCTTGAGTTCCCAGTCTAGTTCATTGTCAAAGGGGGAATATCTATAGTTTTTCCACATTATTTTGTTCTCAAGCAAGTCCCTTTCCCCAGAATTTTCTTTCCCATTTAAACTGGTTACTCTGCATTTAAAATCTGCATCGTAAAATGAGGCCAAACAGTCCTTTGCCTCCACCTGTTTCTTACACGCTAAGAATGAGAAAGCGGGTAGGACTCGGCTATGGAGGTGCTGTTCCCTCAAAAAGGTTGGGATAAGGTATGGTTTTGGAGCCTGGACACAAGACGGGGCAAAACTGGTTATCCTGACACGCTCTCACCACTGCAAAAGAGTAGCTTGCTTCAGCTGGATGCCTTCCACCCACACTGCAGCACAGCCAGTCTTGCCAGTCTTTTTTGGCTGCTTCTCGCTCCCGCCACAAAGTTCTTTCATTGTTCACAGGATCGGTTCGCCAACAGCTGTTCCTAGCTTTTCGGCTCTGAGCTGTACCGCATTTTAAAGTTTCAGAAGCAGCACTTCTGAGTACGATTCGCACAATGCTGCCCGGCCGCTGGGCAAGGGGCTCAGAGGGCCAGGCAGGGGGGTGTGCAGGTCCAGAGCGGCGCGGCAGGCACACGAGGACCGCGCAGCCCACAGAGCGTGTGCCGGCGTCCGAGGGGGCTTCGGCTCCGCCCCGCAGCCCGAGGGCCGCCGGGCTGCGGGCCACGCGCTGGATACCGGCTCGCGCTTGGGCCCAGAGATCCTTCGCGCTGATGCGCTCGAAGGTTCTTAAACCTCTCCAGCCTGGATCTCCCCTCGACTCCAAACTAACCCGGGCCTCGCCGGCTAACGCATCCGGCACAAACGGCGCCGGCAGCCCGTTATGGCCATCCTTTCAAGCAGCGGGACGAAGGGACGCGCGCTCTCCTGCTTTACGGCAAGGGTGCGCGGGTTTGCGACAGCGTGACGCCGCCAGAGTTTTGGCGGGAAAAGCGCTGCATTTGGATTCCTGTGGTGGCGGGCAAAGGACGGCCTGGTGAGGAGGGGCGGCCGGTAGGGTGGGAAAGCAGCCTGTAGAAGGAGTTCGGGGTCTACATTAGTTGGGAGGGGCATGGCGAGAGAAAGTTATCGGTGACGAGCGAAGGGAATCGGAGAGACTCCCGCTGAGGGGCGGTTTCGGAGGGTGGAGGAGTGTGGGACCGGGGAACCCCGTGGTGGGGGCATTGGAGAGACTACCCCTTTGCCGGCTGAGGACCCCAGAGGTTTGGGCGCCGGCTGTCTAGAGTGCCTGCCAACTCTTCCTTCCGCTTCTTGGGGGCAGTTTGGCCCCGCCCCAGGCTCCTCCCGGCCTTTGGGACGGCGTGGGGTGGGTATTGGAGCTGAGCAAGCGGGAGGAGGGGCTGCAGGCGTCCTAGTTAAACGATGTTCTTCTCCACTAACTCGCAGCCCCTCACCCGTCTCACCCTCCGTCCGTCCCCAGTCATTCCCCTCAAAGCATATGTGCCCCCAGCTCCTCAGCAGAGCCGCTGAGTGCGGCTTTTCTCAGAGGCCTGAGGAAGGCAGTGTCGCTTCGTTCTGCGTGGGAATGGGGATGGTGATTTACACCACAGAATGCCAGAATTTAGAATACTTGCTTGTGGTTTAAAGCCTTGGATAAAATACGGATGAGGTGTAAGGGGAAACCAAACTGTTAGTTATATTGAGGGATCATGGCAGATGGTTGAAGCTTATCCTCACCCCCATCTTTTCTGGGTTCCTGCCTTTTACAGCCGTGGTCCATCGTGAAGTCATGGCAGTGCCCTTTGTGGAAGACTGGGACTTGGTGCAAACCCTGGGAGAAGGTGCCTATGGAGAGTGAGTTCGAGTCCCTTTACCCTGCCTTCACACTTGCTTTAGATTTCTGTCTGTTGTCTTGAGTACGTATTTGTTGTTTTGGAATTGTTTGTTCTAATACAGTGGCATCTTAGAGAACAGATCTTTGCGTTTGAAGTCTAAGATTTTTGGGAACTGGAGCCGCACTTTTATAAGGATTAATCCCCCCCTCTTTTTTTAAAAAACATTTTCTCTGTAAAGAGCTGGAAGAGACCTGTGAAGTCAGTTTCTCCTCCCACATATTCCTTCCTGGGATTTAAGCATAGTGGTTAAATGAGCAAATGAACAGACTCTTGAGTCAGACTGCCTGGTTTCAGATCTTCACTCATCACATTGGTTTGTGTTCTTAGGCAAAATTCTTCATGTGTGCCTCTGTTTCCTCAGCCCTAAGGTGACAGTAATAGTACCTACCTCTTAGAACAGTTACCACAGACATATGTAGTATGAGGTTAATAAATCTTAGGTAGTATTACTAAAATTAAATGAATAGAGGATGTGTATATGTGATGTGGCATGGAATTACTGTTATTCCATTTTAGTTTATTTTATCAAGTATTTATTAAATAACCTTTGGATGTACAACATAATGACTTCTTTAGAGCATTATTCATCATACTTCACATTTCAGAAAGGAGTAGTATCTATTGAGAACATGGCAGAAACTATTTCCTTGGTTTCTACTGGGTAGAGAGAGTAATGAAGGTAAAATTGTTGAGTCATATTTAATCTTTTGAAGTTTTCAAAGAAATCGAATTCAGTTGTCTTCCTTTTCCTTTTTAGGGTTCAACTTGCTGTGAATAGAAGAACTGAAGAAGCAGTTGCAGTCAAGATTGTAGACATGAAGCGTGCCATAGACTGTCCAGAAAATATTAAGAAAGAGATCTGTATCAATAAAATGTTAAATCATGAGAATGTAGTGAAATTCTATGGTCACAGGAGAGAAGGCAATATCCAGTATCTATTTCTGGAGTACTGTAGTGGAGGAGAACTTTTTGACAGAATTGGTACGGAAATAAGCTTTAAGATAACTATTCTACTAAATAAGTTTCTAAATTTGTTTTTTAATCTTGGGTCTGCTATTTGGTCATTGTCCATTTAGAACTGCTTATGCAACAGTGAAATTGGAGTAACTTTTCTTGTTTTTACAAGTTACATTAACACATTAAAGCATATATGGAATCATCAAGGAAAACCTTTTCCCCAAATTGTGTATGTAATTTTGGTTAGGATTGCTGTTTTGTAGAATTTAAGGATGATAAACTAATCTCATGGTGAAGTATCATTAGTGCAATGTATACTCACTATACAGTGATTTTTCTTTATAGACATTCCAGTTATATGAAATCATTACATACATTTACAGAGCCAAAATAATAGCATGTTATATTTTTTCTTTATTTATTTAAGTGAAATTAACTTGAGAATTTTCTAGAATTGCTTTGCCTATATTTAGTAAATTCTGTACTTGCTACTTAATGTTCTATGTAGATTCAAAGGCTTGGTATTGCAGGACTCTGAGAAGTACACAAGAATAATATGTGGATCTAAATTTAGTATTTAAAGCTGTTGTGTTCATATTTAAAAACTGATTATTAGACTCTCCAGTATGTATCTCAGGAGGGAGTTCAGTGTAAAAGAAACCAAGAGGTAAAGAGGGAGATCAAAATTTAAATATTTAGTGAAATTAGTTTATATTTGCCCAGTCTTACACTTTGGCAATTACATTTCAGGGGTGGGGAAAATATTGTCAGCATTTGGAAGAAATTAGGGGAGAATTTGAAAGATATCGAATGATGGTTAGTGTATGATAAGCAGAGATTTTCAAGGTATGGCTTCTATTCTTGATTTGGATAGTAGTTTGTTGTTTCTCTCTGTAACTTTCCTGTGATGTTAATTTATTTTTGCCACATAACAGATGGGGAAATGTGAGTTATTAAATATTGTACAAGTTAGTGGACACCAGGGTCTTAATTGTTACCATAAGATTCTATTTGCCAGAGTACCATCACAAAAGTCTAACCTTAGAATTAGGAGCCTGTGGTTGATACCTGATTATGTTTACCTGGCAAACTAACTTTCATTATTAATTCTTACAGAGCCAGACATAGGCATGCCTGAACAAGATGCTCAGAGGTTCTTCCATCAACTCATGGCAGGGGTGGTAGGTACAGTTGTCTCTTTTCCTTTTGCTTAAAATTATTATGAATGAAGTAAGTTACCAAATTTTGGTATGTTTCCTTCTGTTTCTCTTTTAGGTTTATCTACATGGTATTGGGATAACTCATAGGGATATTAAGCCAGAAAATCTCCTATTGGATGAAAGGGGTAAGTTGAGCATTTTGTCACTGCTGCCTAAATTATTTTATTTTATTATTATTTTTTTTAAAGCTAGAGAGAGAGAAAACAAGCAGGGGAAGCAGCAGGCAGAGGGAGAAGCAGGCTCCCTGCTGAGCAAGGAGCCCGATGCAGGACTCCATCCCAGGACCCTGGGATCATGACCTGAGCCGAAGGCAGCTGCTTAACTGACTGAGCCACCCAGACGTCCCTGCCTAAATTATTTTAATCCATAGGAGGCAGGTTCGAAGCTTTTGCATTATTGAAATCTTAGGGCAGAAAATCTGAAAAGCCTAGGAAGTTTGAGAGACTCCATATATTTAGACTTCACAAGTCCTTCCTGATATAGTTGTGGATGAGAGAGAAATCTAACCTAGATGCTCACTAAATGAATAGCTGTATGAATAGTCTTAAAATGACTTTTCAATGAATTAAAGTTTCTGTTGGAATACGCTGGACTTTAGCCTTATCTTGTTTTATTTAATTAGGTAGATAGTTTGTTTCAAATTTTTATTTAAATTCCAGTTAGTTAACATATAGTGTAATATTAGTTTCAGGAGTAGAATTTTGTGATTCATCACTTACATATGACACCCAGTGCTCATCACAAGGGCCCTCCTTAATACCCATCATCCATTTAACCCATCCCCCCACCCACCTCCCCTCCAGCAACCCTGTTTATTCTCTATAGTTAAGAGTCTCTTTTATGGTTTGCCTCTCTTCCCGCCTCCATGTTCATCTGTTTCGTTTCTTAAATTCCACATATGAGTGAAATCATATGGCATTTGTCTCTGACTGACTTATTTCTCTTAGCATAATACTCTCTAGCTCCGTCCACCTCATTGCAAATGGCAAGATTTCATTCTTTTGCATGGCTGAATAATATTCCATTATATACTGCAACTTATTTATCCATCAGCCGGTGGACACCTGGGCTCTTTCCATAATTTGGCTATTGTTAATAATGCTGCTATCAACAACAGGGTGTATGTGTCCTTTCAAATCGGTATTTTTGTATCCTTTGGGTAAATACCTAATAGTGCAGTTGCTGGGTTGTAGGGTAGTTCTGTTTTTTTGTTTTAAGATTTCATCTATTTATGTATTTATTTGAGAGAGAGCGAGTGAGCGAGAGAGTGTGTGTGTGTGGGGTGGGAGAGGGGCAAGCCGACTCCATGCTGAGTGCAGAGCCCGACTTGGGGCTTGATCTCAGGACGCTGAGATCATGACCTGAGTGGAAATCAAGAGTGGGAGGCTTAACCATCTGCACCACCCAGGAACCCCAGGGCAGTTCTATTTTTAACTTTTTGCGGAACCTTCATATTGTTTTCCAGAATGGCTGCAACCAGCTTGCAGTCCCACCAGCAGTGCCAGGGGATTCCCCTTTCTCTGCATCCTCATCAGCATCTGTTGTTTCCTGTGTTGTTGACAGGTGTGAGGTGATATCTCATTGTAGTTTTGATTTGCATTTCCCTGATGATGACTGATGTTGAGCACATTTTTGTGTGTCTGTTAGCCATCTGTATGTCTTTGGAAAAATGTCTATTCGTATCTTCTGCCCATTTCCTAACTGGATTATTTGTTTATTGGGTGATTGAGTTTGAGAAGTTCTTTATAGATCTTGGATACTAACCCTTTATCAGATACGTCATTTGCAAATATCTTCTCCCATTCCAAAGGTTGCTATTTAGTTTTATTGTTTCCTTTGCTGTGAAGAAGCTTTTTATCTTGATGAAATCCTAATAGTTCATTTTTGCTTTTGTTTCCCTTGCCTCCAGAGATGGGTCTAGTAAGAAGTTGCTACTGTCGATGTCAAAGAGGTTGCTGCCTGTGTTCCTCTCTAGGATTTTGAGGGTTTCCTGTATCATGTTTAGGTCTTTCATCTATTTTTTTTTTTTTTAGATTTTATTTATTTTTTTGACACAGAGAGAGCGGGTACACACGAGCACAAGCAGGTGGAGCAGCAGGCAGAGGGAAAAGGAAAGGCAGGCTCCCCGTTGAGCAGAGAGCCTGACATGGGGCTTGATCCCAGGACCCTGGGATCATGACCTGAGCCGAAGGTAGATGCTTAACCAACTGAGCCACCCAGGCGCCCCTGCTCTTTCATCTATTTTGAATTTGTTATTGTGTATAGTGTAAGAAAGTAGTCCATTTGCGTTCTTTTTTTTTTAATTTAAGAGAGAGGGAGGGAGAGAGTATGAGGTGGGGAGGCAGATGGAGAGGGAAAGAGAAACTCAAGCAGACTCCACACTGAGTACAGAGATCTCACGACCTGAGCCGAAACCAAGAGTTGGATGTTCAATGGACTGTGCCACCCAGGCACCCCTAGTTTCATTCTTTTGCATGTTGCTGTCCAGTTTTCCCAACACCATTTGTTGAAGAGACCGTCTTTTTTCCATTGGTTATTCTTTCATGCTTGTTGAAGATTAGTTGACCAGATAGCTGTGGGTCCATTTCTAAATTTTCTATTCTGTTCCATTGATTTATGTATCCGTTTTTGTGCCAGTACATACTGTCTTAATGATTACAGCTTTGTAATACAGCTTAAAGTCCAGAATTGTGATGCCTCCAGCTTTGCTTTTCTTCTTCAAGATTGATTTGGCTATTTGGGGTCTTTTGTGGTTCCATACAAATTTTAGGATTGTTTATTCTAGCTCTGTGAAAAATGCTGGTGGTATTTTGATAGGGATTGCATTAAATGAGTAGATTGCTTTGGATAGTATAGACATTTTAACAATATTTGTTCTTCCAATCCATGAGCATGGAATGGTTTTCCATTTCTTCACATCCTCTTCAATTTCTTTCATAAGTGTTCTGTAGTTTTCAGAGTACAGATCTTTTACCTCTTCGGTTTTATTCCTAGGTATCTTACGGTTTTTGGTACAGTCGATTCCTTGATTTCTCTTTCTGCTGCTGCTTTATTGGTGTATAGAAATCCAACAGATTTCTATCATTATTTCTTTTTTTTTTTAAATCGTAATACATGTATTTCACTTACATCAACCTGATACATGTGTTCTTAACAATTTTGCTTGGATTGTTCAAGAAGAATTTTTTTTTATTAACATATAATGTATTACTTGTTTCAGAGGTACAGGTCTGTGATTCATCAGTCTTACACAATTCATAGCATTCACCATAGCACATACCCTCCCCAGTGTCCATCACCCAGCCACCCCATCCTTCCCACCCCTTCCCCCTCCAGAAACCCTCAGTTTGTTTCCTGAGATTAAGAGTCTCTTATGGTTTGTCTCTCTCTCTGGTTTTGTCTTGTTTCATTTTTTCCTCTTCCCCTATGATCCTCTGTCTTGTTTCTCAAATTCCACATATCAGTGAGATCATATGATAATTGTCTCTCTCTGATTGACTTACTTCGCTTTGCATAATACCCTCTAATTCCATGCATGTCGTTGCAAATGGCAAGATTTTTTTTTTTTATTTTTTTTTAAGATTTTATTTATCTGGGCGCCTGGGTGGCTCAGTTGGTTGGGCGACTGCCTTCGGCTCAGGTCATGATCCTGGAGTCCCGGGATCGAGTCCCACATCGGGCT